CTGCAGTCCATGGGGTAGCAAAGTGACTGAACAACAATAACAATGGAATGTACAGTGTGGGGAAAGCAGTCAATAATATAATACCTTTATGGCGATAGATGATACTGAGACTTATCATGGTGATCTTTTTGGAAGCTATAGAAATACCAATCACTATGTTGTACACTGGGAACTCATACAGTGTTTCAGGTCAATTATAATTCAAAAACAAATAAACTTGTCATAAAAGAGATCAAATTTGTGGTTACCAGAGGAGGAGGCTGTGGGGGGGGGGTTGGAATTAGATTGAAGGCATTCAAAAGGTACAGACTTCCACATATAAGATAAATAAGTGCTACAAATGTAATATGCAACATGATTAATATAGTAAACTCTCTTGTGTGTTATATATGAAAATTGTTAAGAAGGTAAATCTTAAGAATTATGACTATAAGGAAAAGTATTTTTTCTGTTTAATTTTATATCTATATGAGATGATAGATGTTCTACTAAATTTATTGTGATAATCATTTCATGATGTGTGAAAATGAAATCATTATGCTGTACACCTAAAATGTATAGATTGCTGTTTTGTAATCATATCTCAATAAACCTGAGGGGAAATGGCTTTAGTTTTGGGAAGCTCTAATATGAAGTCATTCCTTGTGGGTATACTATTTGGCAAGGACAATTGTCTTTGAATGCTATTACTGTTTTCATAATGTTTAATCTACATACAGGAGAAAGCTATTTAGTTCTTTACTGTAGAAATTTGAGGATGTGGGCTTGTTCTTCAAATAGAAATTTCAAGACCTCTGCATTTAAATTGGTTATCTCTTCCCAAGACTGGATTTTGTCCCTTGAGCTGATAGAAAGGCCACTTTATATTTGTGGGGCTTGTTTATGGAGGCCACTAGGAGCTCTGCCACAGCTCTGTGCTCCCAGGGCAAGCGTCCCTAAATACTTTCCCTTAGACCCTGCTAAGGATTATTGGGATCTTGTTTGTAGGTTGATCCATCCCTCATATGGGAGCTGCTACCCAACTGAGCTTCATTCCTAGAACCCTCCCAGCTGCGATTATTGGAAAGTTTCAGGATCAGTTTTTTCTTAGGCAATATAGAACTTAACCAGTTAGGTAAGATCCTGACATCTGTAATCAGGGAATTACTTCATTTCAGGTAGACTAAAAGTATAAGACTTTTGGCATACTAAAATATGTTGATATTTCAAACAGTGCAGAGCAAGGTCTTTTGATGCTTAGAGAATGTCAGACAGCTAATCAGATTGATCTTACCAGGGGAGCATTCCTCCTTGGTATATAATGCTCAGTAAATATTCATGGTATGTAGTAAACTGCTGGTACCCCTTCCAATTTCCTTTACTGGATCCTTCTTACTGCTGAGTGAAGGCTGCTAAATGAAACATGTGTACAAGATGCTGGTCCTTTTGCCTCAGGGTGGGATCAACTCTACGGTACAATTCATGCTCCATAACTCTCCATAGGATCAGGCTAAAGTTCCAGATAAGACTGTATCCTTGATCAGCTACCTTCCCTGCTTCCTTCATTGTCTTTCTCCTAAGAGTACTCTCCCAATAAATTGTACACTCAAATTCTATTTCAGGATGTGTTCCTGGGGAAATGGACCTAAGACACTGCATAAATTAAAAATTATAAAAAAATCATTCATGTCCATGACCTGGAGACAATGCTATAATGCAAGCAAAGATATAGAAAATGATGACTTGAAATCGGATGCTTTTCTTGAGGGAAAATATCAAAAGCCCAAGAAACTAGCAGAGACTACTTCACACCATCTTAGTGGCAAATAACCTTGGCCGTGCAGCTGGTAAGAACAATGTTGTTTAGAGTCTGAACTTAGAACAGTTAACAGGCTAAGAATTCTTGACCATTGACATTAACTTTTTTGGAACCCGGAGGTAGCTGCCTTGATACGGACTAGTGGAGAAAAAAGTGGCATGGGATTTCAGGTAGAACAGCCACAGAATCTAGGTGATAAGGCATAAGGAGTCCTGCATATGTACTTTCAGGGCAGCAGTGATCCCTTTCATTACAAGTGACTGGATGTTATAGTACCAGAACCTATTCAGAAGTGTATATAGATGACTACGGTTTTTCCAGGAGTCATGTACAGATGTGAGAGCTGGACAATAAAAAAGGTTGCACACTGAAGAATTGATGCCTTTGAACTATGGTTTTGGAGAAGACTCATGAGAGGTCCTTGGACAGCAAGGATATCAAGCCAGTAAATCCTAAAGGAAATAAACCCTGAACATTCATTGGAAGGACTGATGCTGAAGCTGAAGCTCCAATACTTTGGCCACCTAGTGCAAAGCACTGACTCACTGAAAAACACCCTGATGCTGGGAAAGATTGAAGGCAGGAGGAGAAGGGGATGATAGAGGATGAGATGGTTGGATGGCATCACCAACTTGATGGACATGAGTTTAAGCAAACTCAAAGAGCTGGTGAAGGACAGGAAAGCCTGGCATGCTGTAGTCCATGGGGTTGCAAAGAGTCAGACACGGCTGAGCGACTGAAGTCTCAGAGTAGCTAGACTTCTTTTAAGGTAGCTGGATTTCCCCAGAATATGTGCTCTGAGCCACTTAGGAGGAAACTGAAAAACCTCCTATGACCTAGACTCAAATTCTTTGCCCATCACTTCTATCATGGTCCATTGATTAAACAAATCACTAAGCCCATCCCAGATTCAAGGACTGGGGGATTAGTCCCCATCTTTCCACTGAAAAACTGTAAAAGAATTTGTAGCCATCTTTAATGCATCATACATAAAGTATAGTGGACTCTGACAACAGTATGGCTCTTTCTCCTTAGAAAGAAAATATCAATACTTCCCTTCACAAGAAAATATTTTGTTTGTTTTTAAGAACAAGATAATTTGAGCATGTTTTAAGGCTAACGAAAAAGAACTAGAGAAGGGAATAAATTAAGGAAGTAAGAAAAAGAATGTTGCAGCAAGGTTTGAGAGCTTTGAATAGAAAATTGTCATTCTGCTGTTGTATAGGTGCAAGCCATTTCCTGTTAACCTCATGTGTTAGGAAAGTCATGTGAAACTTCTCACCCTGGGCTCAGTCGTGCTGTGCGGAGCGGTGGAATAGGGTGGTTCCATTTCTGGCCTGGAGGAACACTGCTTCCTGAAGCCAAGGCATGGCTGCATGTCAGCCTGACCCACGATAGGGCCACATATTCCATTTTCCTGTCTCATCCGCACTTATCCCCATGTAGGACACTGTAGCAAAAACACAACCTACAAACCAGAATACCAGTGCTAGGGCCTAGGCTGAGCACGGGTTTCACGTAAGAATAGGAGGGATGTGTGGGTGGAGAGCGGGCTGTTGTACAGTTCAGCTTTACCAGGCTTCAGGGGGATGCAGAACGACGAAGGTCAGGATCTGGATATACAAGGTACATCCTAGAATTTTAGAATACTGTGCTCTATGAAGAGAAGCTTCAAAGTGTGCGAAGGCCTTTCTTTGTTTCCTAGGGACTGCAAGGTGCCCAAACTCTGAGACAGCTGCCATGGGAATATCTGTCACAGCACAAGCCTTATGTCAGACAATGTTCTGATTATCTGTTGGTGAGTAACAAATCTTTCTAAAACTTGGAGGCTTAAAATAGAAGCCAGTGTATAATTTCTCAGGATTTTGGATAAGGCAAAGTAGGAAAGACTTGTCTCTGTTCTAGGTAACGTGGAAGCGCCCAGGTGGCTGGAACAAGGGCTTCTTTCTTCACTGACTTGGTCCCGCAGCTGGGATGGATCTATCAGATTTTTGTGTCTTGGATCTCAGTTCTTGGTGTTAATTGGGCTCCTGCTGCTGCTGCTGCTGCTAAGTCGCTTCAGTCGTGTCCAACTCTGTGCGGCCCCATAGACAGCAGCCCACCAGGCTTTCCAGTCCCTGGGATTCTCCAGGCAAGAATACTGGACTGTGTTGCCATTTCGTTCTCCAAATCGGGCTCCTACTTTTCCTCCAAATGCTCTCATTGTGGCACAGTGGAAAAGAAGCTGCAGGTCAGGACTATCAAGAGCTCAAAATCAGAATTGCTGAGTTGTTCTTAAGGCTGACCTGGAACGTGCACATCATCACTTCCCCTACTTTCTTCTTGGTTAAATCCAGTAACAGGTCCGTCCAGATTTCAGGGTTGGGGAACACACAAGGTTATACTGCCAGCAGGCATGTTTCATTGCGGATTACCAAAGTAACATGCTACTTGACAAGAAGGGCTTTAGGCGCAGACCTATGTGTTTAAAGCGGGCCGGGACGCGGAAAGGGGGAGGCTCCGGTTCCTAATTTTATGCTGCCCTTTCCAGATGATTGGAGGGCAAACAGTGGGGAACAAGGTAACCCCAAACTTCCTCTACAGAATTAAAGGTGCGGGGTCTGGTTTGCTACTGAATCAGGCTGTATCAAGGAAAGCCTTGCTGTGTGTCTTCAGTTCTAGGCATTCATTGACCATAGGTTCTTAACACACGTGTTGCTTCGTTAACACTGTATTACAAAGGTCAAAGCAGAGGCTCGCAGCACTCCTACAGTACCGCAGCTAGTACCACATCACGACTCAGACTCCTAGGCCCCTTCTGCCCCGCAGCGAAACTTGGGGTAGAGTGATGATTGGAGCCAGGGTCCCTGGACAGCAGCGCTCAACTCGGCCGGCTTGGCTTAAGAAGCGACTGGCTCCGAGAAACCAACGGGAAGAGGGTGCTTCAGACTGCTACCCAGGCGCGGCCATGCGAAGCGAATGAATAGAACTAGAGCGCGAGAGCTCCTGGACACCAAGGTCGAGGGAGGGGGGGAGAAGAACTCTTTATGCCTTACACACAGTGCGTTACAGGTCCGCCTTCAGGGAAGCGCGTTCCAGATGACGCTAGTCCGCCGGCCCCGCCCACGCACGCACGCACGCGCCGGCCCCGCCTCCCGCGCAGCTCTGGACCCGCCCTCAGGATTGACCGCCCGAGCCACCGTCCGCACAGTCCCGCCCCGCACGGCCAGGCGAAGCTGAGCCGGCCGTGCGGTGTCTGTGTGTCTGTGTGTGTGTGTGTGTGTGTGAGGGTATATGTGTTCACGGGACACCGTCTCAGCCCCGGGAAGATGGTGGCGGCGGCGACTGAGGCGAGGCTGAGGAGGACCGTGGTGACACCAGCGCCCACGAGCAGGAACGGCAGGCGGTGTCGGGACTGGGACGCGTCTAGGGCTGGAAGGCCGGGGCTGCGGACCGGGCTGCGCCTCCCACGGCGGCGGCGGCGCCTGCTGCTGCTGCTGCTCCCGCCGCTGCTGCTACTTCCCTGGGCTGCTGAGGCCGCGGCGGCAGCGGCGGCGGTGTCGGGCTCAGCCGCAGCCGAGGCCAAGGAATGTGACCGGCCCTGTGTCAACGGCGGCCGCTGCAACCCTGGCACCGGCCAGTGTGTCTGCCCCGCCGGCTGGGTGGGCGAGCAATGCCAGCACTGCGGGGGCCGCTTCAGGTGAGTGGGAGATAGTATCGGAGGTCGAGGCTAAGGGGCGCTCAAAAGACGGCCCCAGGCCGGAGGCGGATGCCCCACAGAAATTGGGGAGAGGAGGGCTGCCCCATCATGTTTCAGGACCACTTGCTTCCAGGAAGATCTTCGTCTCTGGCCTGGGGTCTTCGGTACTAGAAGTTGAAAAGGTGCTAGGAAGGGTGGGGGCACCCCAAAGGGACGAAAGCTACATGGGACGAAAGCTTACGATTCCGAGGAGTATCAAAGCCAATCTCTGAAACTGGGCCTCTTTCTGAAAAAACGAGGTAAAAGAAAAGGTGAGAGAGCCAGCCTACCTTAACACTTCTTTTGAACATCCCCTCGTTCTCCAGGGTCTGATGAGTTCCCGGACTTATTGGAGATGGTGGGGTACTCTGAAGACACAGGGCTCTTGGAGAGATTTGTCTGGAGATAAAAGGGAAACGGGTTGGACTGTGAGATATTAGAGATAGAAGAACTGGTGGTTACTGGCTAAAGGAAGTAAAGAAACTAGCTTTTGGACGCTCACTGGAGGAGGCCGATTGGAACAAGATCTGTCGTGGAGAGGGCGTCGAAGGAGGTTCTTATTTGCCCTGGTTTCTGGAAAATGTGGAGTTCTGAGTTGGCCTGGTTCAGGGCAGTACCTCTTGGAGAGATCATTCATTAATTAGTAGTAACTATTATTTGCTTTCCTTGTGCAAGGATTGCTGGATGATACAAATAGATTAGCCAGACTTTCGTCTGGTCCGCAAGGAGTTTGGAATATAACTAGAGAAAAATCTGTTACATAGATAACCCAAATCATAAGGACTACATGCCTTTGGCTGATATTTGCTGAACATTTTTGGTGTCAAATGTGGAGGAGTGGGGAAATACGGAGAACAAGACAGACAGGGCCCCTGCTCTCATAGCTCTCACATTCTAGAAGGGAGACACAGTTAAGAAGCAAACAAACAAAATAAAATAACAAATAATTTTTTGGTAAACGCTGTCGAGAAAATAAGACAGGATAGAGAATTATAACCAGTTGGTAACTTTAGGAGAAGGCTCTCATTTGAAGTGACATTTGATCTGAGACATGAATGAGGCAAAGGAGAACCTGTGGGAATTCAGGAGTGGAGAAGGTGTGATTAGCTGAGGGAATGCAGGGATATTTTGAGGAGGAGATGACACTGATTTTGAACTTTTGAGGATAAGTAGAATTTGGAAATGTGGAGCTGGAAAAAAAAAATTCCGGATGGAACGAAGGATACAAACAAAATTGTGGAGACCAGAAGTGAAATATTCTAGTGCCAAGGTATATAGAGGAGAAGTGCGAGAGAGAAGTTTGGAGAAATGAGAGAGAGAAGTTTGGAACAGTAGAATTATAGGCTCATGTAATGTCATATCTTCAAGGGAACTTGGAGAACATTGTGGAGATGAGCTCTTTGTTGTTTATGGAGAAAGCAAGTGATTTCAAAATAGATTTGTACAGTATGGCCAGCCTTGTACCTTTACTTAGGGTTCTGGGTAATATAATTCTGGCTCATGAACTACATTAATTTACCACAACTTGTTGAGGGCAACTCTGGATTATGTTATGAAATTACAGTGGTTAACAGGACAGACACAGTCCAGCTCTATACAGCTTACATTCTAGTTTTCGAGTAGTCAATTTCTTACCATTTTTCTTAAAGCTGTGGAAGTGAAGAGAAGGGAGCAAATGGAGGACTTGATTTAGTTTGGAAAAGTAAGGTTAGTGAGGCTTTTGAGTTGTGATCTGAAGGGTGAAATCCCACTACCTACACGGGAGGTGGTCCACTAAAGGGCCGGTGTGTACAGAGGCTTGGAGATGAGAGGGATCATTTCAGGATGGATAGAAAGCCAGGTGGCTTGAGCAGAGAGAGCAAAGGGAAGCATGGCAAGACTGGAGGGATAAGCAGAAACCAGGCCACGTGGAGCCCTGTGGGTTGGGTTGAGAGTTTTGACCTTTAGCCTGTGAGCAGTAGAATAGCATTGTTCATCTTGTTTTCATGACATTACAGTCATTACAGATTGGAGTCAGAGCAGGAATGGCCTTTGAAGATGGGACCAAAGCGTTTTTAGTTTGAGCACATCCATGATCAAGTGAATGGATTGTTGGCTCAGAGGGGAATTTTTCAAGTTCTGAAAATTTAGGATGCCTTGGTAGGCAGTGGGGGCCCACAGGGTGGGGAGGGACATACGTTGCTAGATCAGTCTGTCTATAATGTTTGGAGAAGGACTTATTTTAAGCATGAGAGATGATGGGCAACTAGATTGGAACCTTGGTGTGGGTCAGGTCAGGAGTAATGAGAACTTGAGATAAACTGTAGGAATGGAGGAAGGGATAGGTGCTAGGTGGTATTGTAGAGGTGAATGACTGATCTTTGAAACTGGCTTGCTTTTGGGAAGAGAGGGGGATGGTGAGGGAACGAAAACTAGACCCTATCTTAGGTGATTGAGGGGATGGTGATATCATTAACAGACGCAGGGACACAGGAGGAACAGGTTTGAGATGTTTAATTTTGCACACACTGAGGTTGGAGTACTTTCAGGATTTCCACCTGTGGGACAGGTGAAAGTGTTAGCGTCATCTACATATAGAGAGAGCAGGTCCAAGTGTCCATGAGGACGGTCCAGAGGATTGGAAAATTGCAGGTTGGCTCAGATGGTGTCATGTGAGAGTGAGGGGGCTTCCCAGGTTGTTTTGGACGCTCCATTTGAGCCAGTTCCAGCTAGTGTCTGTGCTCTTTTCTGGGCGAACAGTTAAGACCTTCATTCTGATAATTTCATTGTATTTTGTGGGCTTCTGAAATTTGCATTTTAAAAAATGAAAGTAAGAGAAACATGTCTATAGTCTTTTAAAAAAAACCCTTTCGTTAAATTTTTAGTTGTAGGATTTTTTAGGGGAAGAGTGAAATGTTGGTTTTGGTTCTATGTTAGTTTGTATCTTTATTTAACTTACAGACTTCTTTGTTATTAACCTAAGAGACATTAGAATGAATACCTTTCTGGTTTGGGTCAGCATCAAGTTGGGTGTGTTTTTTAAGCCTTTTAGTTCCATAAATCCTGTGTTACAATTGCTCTAGTAAGATCTTTTTCATTAGTTGAAAGGAACATAGGATAATAATAGGATTAGATTCACTAAAGTTATCACTGAGTCCATACCACATGCCAGAGACCTGGCCAAACATTTTCATGTATATTGTACCATTTAATCTTCAGGATAACTCTGAGGGTGTTGTTTAAAATTTGGATTATTGTGTGGTTGTAATTAGAAAGGCAGTTCATTTTTTTTCCCAAATGTAAGATACTGTAGAAATGATTAATTACAGAGGATAAGGTTAATGGTGTCAGTTTAATAAAGATAACTATGAAATCTTTTGTGGATGATTTCCAGAGCAGTGCCACTTCCATTCATTTTTGTGTGATTCAGTAATCATGTTTTTTCTACTTGTGATATCACTATCAAAGTTTTTCTTTAGAGGATAAATATATGCCATTGTTAGAAAGTAAAGATGTTAAGCTAAAAAAAAAAGATGTTAAGCTCATTTATGATGTTAATATGCACTTAATTCTTTTAAGTTCCTGCTATACAACTTTTGGGCAGGTGGAATACAGTAACTTACTGAGAACCTGGTGGTTTAGGCGCTAAGTCACATCCAACTCTTGCAAACTTAGTCCAACTATATGGACTATATAGCCTTCCAGGCTCCTCTGTCTATGGGATTCTCTGGGCAAAAATACTGGAGTGGGTTGCCGTTTCCTTCTCCAACACTTTGAGAAACAAAGAAGGAAAATAGGTTTGTTACAACAGGAAAGCTAGCATTAAAAAAAAAAATCAAATTCATTGAGTCTGTCTGAGGATATGCATATATACTCTTCTGAGGATATGCATATATTTTTGTAACTAGTGAAGTGAAAATTCTTGAAAATAAAATATGGTAAAAAAAAAAAGGTAAAATAAATACTTATCTTGTTTATGGTAATTACTAAGAGGAAGTAATCGGAAGCCCTAAATTTATGTTTATGAATTTTCCCAGTAGAATATAAGCCCATGAGGGCGGGGATTTTTATCTCTTTTGCTCACGGTTATATTTCCAATGCCTAGAGCAGTGCCTGAGACATAGTGCTCAGTAGCTATTGTTGAGTGAAGGAATGAAATTCTGCTATGTATATGTATTTCTTTTTTTTTTTTTTTCATTTATTTTTATTAGTTGGAGGCTAATCACTTCACAACATTTCAGTGGGTCTTATCATACATTGACATGAATCAGCCATGGAGTCACACGTATTCCCCATCTCGATCCCCCCTCCCACCTGTGTATATGTATTTCAAGTCATATGTATTATGACTTTTAGAAATGTACCTGAATGACTGCCATGTTTGTCTTTCTGTCCTTTTATTTTTCCTAAATTTCATTGTCTTATTTTTCACTGTTTGTTGGGCATCTTTATTGGGATATTGTGCTGTTACCTTGTATTGAGCCATACTAAAGACCAAACTTGTTATCATTAAAAAAAAAAAGAAAAAGTGTTAAAAAAAAAAAGTGTTTTCCTTTGTACTTCTTATTTCAGTAGCAAATCCTAGTGTAGATAACCAAAGATCAAAACTTAGGAGTAGTCTTTTGCTCTTTCTGTTTATTCTCCCTTCTTTAAAGTCTTAGAAATGTGTTCCTTTCTGTTCTTTCCGCTGCCACCCTAGTGCACCTGGCCCTTCGCCTCCTTGCTGACCTACCTCTGTTGCACTCTGGTTGGTTTCTTGCACCTCCGGAATCATTCTGCCTTATGTCATATAATCCCCTGAGAACCTACGTTGCTGTCTTGCTCAGAATCTTTTTTTTTTTTTTTAACTCCATTATCTGTAAAATGACCCTCAACAGAAGGCCCTCAAATGCTTTACATATAACCCCTTTTCCCTAACCCAACTTTTCTACTTTGTAATAGTTTTTCTGCATATTTGCTAAATTCAGCACCCCTCTTCATCC